TATTTTAGTGGTTCTGCAGTACGAGCCTTTTCCATGAAGTCTTTCTTGGGATCGCGACCCGGGCTCAGCGTGCAATCACTCTTACCCGAAGAGATTTAGGATTTTGGCTGCATGAAATAGCTCAAACGAAACCTTCATGCGATTATCTTTTGATGACTTCTGACAGAAGGCATTGCTGTGCATTGTTCAGCAGGAAATTAGCATACCATTATCTCGACTGACAGACCTTTATAGGTCTTCCAATTGATATCTTATGTGTGCATATTTTGAAATTATGGCTGAAGCAGTGAGCGGATCATTAATGTTGTTCATCAATCATCTTAATGCAAGGACAAATGAAATAATAACTAATTATCAGGAATAAATCTCACAACCTATGTTTGTCTTGTCAGTATTTCCTCAACTGAAAACAACATTCATGCTAAGTTCGCTAGTGATTCCTCAATCGCACTCATCCAGCCATCAGATGGAGGGAAGAATATCTTTTTTTCGCCAAAATGCAACATTTGATGTCAATGTGTGGCATATTTGCCGAATGGCGTATTTTTTAGTTCATTAAACCATTTGAAGGTCAAATAACACCAAAAGTATTAATTATTCGCAGCACGATGTAAATTATCTAGTGAACATATTTACGACAATTTTCTGAAAGTCTTTTTACAGCAAGCAAACCTTTGATACCGACTTTTCATAAAAATCGTGATTGATTGGTCTGAAGCATCCTGATAAGAATCAGAGCGAATTCCTGTACATAACCCCATAATTCATAACATAGCATTTCTAATTACGCCATCACTTATTCAGCTCCAGTTTAAATCAGACCATAAGATGTAGTCAAATAAGCACGCACATCATGCATGACATTCCCTTCATGATTCATGCAAGCATCTTACTCGGAAGATTCCGCGCGGGTGCTGCTTGTAGTAAACAGTGTCAGGGCATATTTCTAATGAGCAGAAGTGTCGAACCAGACATTAACAAATTTAATCGCTCAAAAAGGCAACTCGGCTCAGGTAGAAATACATTTCGTAAAAACAAATGGTAATGCATGTGCACAGAGTAGGGACAGCAGCAAAACATTTTAATATAGCCCTCTGCCCTATGTATAGGCGTTGGCATGGCACATGCATCTGTTTTCTTAGCAATATTCTAAAAGAACTTCGCTTTCCATGAGGAGCTCTTGTTACATTTGAATATGCCTTAAAATGCATATATTTTTAAAATTTACCGTATGTCTTTTAAAGTGTTGTTGCTTGTTGCAAATCTGTCAAGCGATTCAGGGAATAGGCTAGATTCAATGTTTTCTTTGATTGACATATGATGGCTGTTATTTTTTTCTGAAGGTGACTTACCTACTGCAAATTATTCGTAGTCCCACTACCCGTGTTGGTAAACACATTACACATTTTGTACAGTGCCACAAGTAGATCTGGAACCGTTACAAATCAGGAGCGCTCTCACGCCTCTGTCAGGTGACCCCGACCTCCGCGCGGTCCATCGTCCCGACTGCGCGCTGTGATGGAGGGCCGTCATATGTCGTCCGTCATAACCGGCTGCAAAACTCGGCCCCGGCCGCGCCGCCGTGTCTATTTGAGGTCGGGACGCCAGAGGGGCACGCGGCGCGCTCTTATGAGCGACCACTTTGTACTCTGTCGACGGGCAGACGCCGATGACTCTGTCGGGGCGTGGAATGTAATAAACGCGCTCTGAAGCGATCTCCCGAAACGACTCATCGGCGCTGATGGCCCGACCGCGCCGGCCCGTCGGAGGTACCGACAGGTCATCTGCGGCCGTAGGACATACCGGACAGGTCAGCCGAGGGCCGCCGGTCAGTGGTGCCGTATACCGGACAGGTCTGAGGTCAGAGCTGAGGGCCCTGTTACCGGACAGGTCAGCTGAGGGCCCTGAGCGCCGCCGCGCCGCTCAGTGGTGCCGTATACCGGACAGGTCAGCTGAGAGTCGCCGGTCAGTGCTGACAGGTCAGCGGCAGCAGGTCATCTGCGGGCACAGCCGTCGGTAGCATCAGCTCTATTGCTGACAGGCATTTATCACCTCCGTGTGCTATATGTGGATTTCAAGCTGCACGACTCATGATACATATTTTGTTTGCATCGAATCAGCGTCCCCTGGTTGTCCATTCCACCTTTTAGTTTGATACTTTTACAGGGTGTTTCACTAAAAGTGTCAAAAAGTAAATGGTCATAATTCACATAATAACAATGTTTTCTAAGGAAATTAGCATATCATTTCATCCGCAATTGTTGGACATTTGAATATATAAAAACGATATCACCGTCACTCAAACCTATTCCACACATCTGCCCCTTCTTTTGATGCACCGTTTCGGCACGTGTCCGGAGGTGCCTCACAGCCCGTTTTCATCTTCAGCGTCCAGACTGTCGGCAAAGCCTTGAATTGTGCTCTTCAGCTCCCGAAGTGATGCGACTTGAGTCTTCCTCAGCTCTGCGAGAGCTACTGAGTCACTGACCAAACCAGAGGCTTAGCCTTGACAGATCGGGGCTTCGCGCTGGCCAGAGGCGGGCGGCGAGGCAGCTGATTATTCGGCCCAGGAGCTTGTGGTCCAGTCAGTTCCTGGTGGCTACAGCCGTTACAGTGGTTGATTTTAATAACTTGTAAGGCCCTGGATATTTCTGATGTTGGAATTAGCTTCTTGTTATCTTCAAAGGCCCTCAAAAAGACCCTGACCTTCTCAACGGTTTCCGCCGAGAGGTGGGGGCAACCCCGCCTTTTTTGGACTGGAACCGGCATCGAAGGAACCCTTTTAAACCTCTCAACAAGCCCTTTGAAACTTTTATAATCTGGAACGTAGCGAGGTGAGAGAGTAAAAAGTTTCCTGAAAAGTCGGCATACGGTTTCAATGTTTCTGATGGCACCAAATGTACATAAGTGTAATTCATCCCTCCTGTTGCGGTGTAAATAACCTGTTCTTGTTCTGCATAAGGAAAAAATGACTAGTAACTTTGGCCTCCTGCCCTCGCTCCGTTTGAGTGTAAAATATATCTTAAATGGATAAATAATAAATGTCCAAAAATTTGCAACAAAGCCACGTGCGCAGACACGTGATTTGAATATTCTATATATCTTTAATAGGCATTTACTTTTTGACACTTTTAGTGAAACACCCTGTAGTTCGATCAGACGTTGTCAGTAAGTGGGAATGACCACATCGTTATCTTTTAAGTGTTGGCATTCCTCTGTGATTTGCTGCAGTTGCAAATATTGACATTTGACATCTTCTTAACCCGCGCCCCGTAGGGGGGGGGGGCCGAAACGGCCCCCCCCCTGTCCTTTTCGGTCGATATCTCCTAAACGGGTTGAGATATCGCCACCAAACTTTCAGGACCCCTCCGGGCATCAATTTTACACATTGTGACCAAAAATTTTTCCAGAGGCTATGATAGGTTGGCCACAAATGACGTCAGAGTGACATCATGTTCTGTCATTTTCGACCGAAAAAAGACCTTCGCGAGAAGACCTGTCAGGACTACAGCTTTGAAGATACAGAAAAATGATCAAGACATAAAAGGTGTAGAATTGACAGGGCTACAAAACTGCTATCTCGAATTTTTGAAATTCTTGAGTTTTGACCCCCAAAAATCAAAAAAGCATTTTTTGGATATATTCGCCAAAAAATCCAAAAAGTTTTTTGAGTTTCGAAAAAACCGGAATATATGTGATAGTGCCCACCGTCTTCTATCTACATACCAAATTTCAGATCGATACCTCGTTTTTTGGCCAAGTTATAGCGAAAAAAACTGTTCAAAAATGATGACGTCAAATTTTCAAACTCAATTTTTGGCAATTCTAGAACTCGTAGAGCAAAACGAAGACCACCATTAGACTCCCCGTGACGAGCTGCATCGAATCGATACCCATTTTATGCAAAAATATCAACTTTGAAATTTGACCTAATTTGACCTGACCTTGACCTGACCTTCACAAAAACGTGACCTAGGCTGGCCCCAAAGACTGCCTAACCCACATAATCGCATTTGTCATGTAAAATGGACCATAAAACATGTATCACACGACACATTCATATTGTGACCCCGGTGACCTGACCTCGCTGTGACCTGACCTGGTATCAGTGACCTCAGATAGCAAAGTATGTGTTTGACAAATAATGTACCATCGATGGTTTTCAATAAATTACCAATTTACTCGCTTTCACAGCACATTTCTTGAATTGCCTGTGAACGGTGAAAATCTGACCTTTGACCTGACCTGTGACGTCATCGGTTTGACCTAGGTCAATGAAATTTGGTCACAAGGTAGTTCCCGGGTGGGGCTATCGAACGCCGTTTGAATTTTGAAAATCGGCCGGTAACTTTCCGAGATCTTAGGGGGGGCCGATACGGCCCCCCCCCCTACGGGTGGTAGGGTCCGCCGGTAGCCCTACGGGGCGCGGGTTAATCAGCAGCTTCTCAGCGGCCCGTTTAATGACTCTTAACATGGAAGATTGTTTGATTTCCAACAGCATGGTCCCAGTCAGACATGTGCATGGATCCGAGTGATGGATCTATGATCTCAGTGGATCTCGAAGCAGAGTACAGGTTGGGATCTATGATCCCACCGGATCCGGCGGGAAAAATACATCTTGGATCTATGATCTCATATGATCTGACGATAAATTAAGAACATGGATCTATGATCTGAGTGGCTCCCACCATGCACCACATTTGAAACCATGTTTTAAAGGGTTTCTTTGTCAATAAGTGACACAAAACTACGGATTATGATGTGCGATCACATAAAATTACTAAAACAGAACGTTTGTGAGTTGAAACAAGTGCTTTTTTGGGATATACCGGGTGTTCCGAAAAAAGTGTCACGATTTTAGTCACGTGCGATTTCCGTAAAAATTGTCCGAAATAGTTTGGCTTAAGATATGTTGCTCACAACCCTTGTCGATTTTGGTGGACAAAACGGCTCACCAAAATCTACGATGGTTTTTTCGCCAGAACAAAAAATCAAAATCGTCCGATTATGGTTCGAGACGAAATCGTACGTCACCGTCCGCCGCCGACTTCGACGCGAGTGTGACATGGAAACTCGAGATCTGCCCTGCAACAAACTCATTGCAAGGTTTGTTAACCATTTTGAGACAACAGGTTCAGTCCTGAATACTCACAGGGGCAGCAGCGGCAGGCCAGCATCGGTTTCAAAGTCCCCAGAGACCATCGCGGCCGTGCGAAATTCCGTCATTGCCAGTCCCAAGAAGTCGCTCCGTCGACGCTCTCAACAGCTCGGACTTGCTAAAACCAGCGTAAGACGCATCCTATGCGACGAGCTAAAACTGTCATCGTACATAATATCCACCAGACATAAGATGACGGATCGGGACAGGCAAAAGCGGCAAGTCATGTGTCAATGGATCTCCAACAAGATGGAGAGGAACGCGCGGTGGGTGAACCGAGTCTGGTTCTCAGACGAGGCTCACTTCCACCTGAAGGGTGCGGTGAACAACCACAACAACACTGTTTTAGAGTCATATTTTTTCCCAGGTATATGTTTGTAGATATAAAACTTTATCGGAATTCACTGGGATTGTATTGCATACGCAATACAATCCCAGTGAATTCCGATAAAGTTTTATATCCACAACAACACTTTCTGGGGTAACTCACCACCGGAAGAAGTAACGGAGAAGCAGCTGAAGGGCCCGAAGGTCACTGCCTTCGTGGCCTACAACGCCACTCACGGCCTCCTCGGTCCCTACTGGTTCGAAGAAGATGGCCGGACCGTCACCATCAATGGCGAGCGCTACCGCGAGGTCATCCGGGAATTCTACGCGGATCTGACCGATATGCTCACCGATAACCAACTGCAACAGGCATGGTTCATGCAAGACGGAGCTCCGCCTCACACTGCGCGTGAGAGTATCGAATGCCTTAAGGAGCTGTTCAACGCTCGCCTCATGTCTCTCGGCACCGCCCATGAGTGGGCTCCCCACAGCCCTGATCTCAACCCGCTAGACTTTTGGCTGTGGGGGGCTGCCAAGGACACTGTGTACGCAGGCAAGCCCAAGACACTGGTCCAGCTTAAGCAGAACGTCGAAAGATACCTGCATCAAGTCGGTCCCGAGACTCTGACGAAAGTCGCTGAGAGTTTCCAGGCCAGAATCAAGGCGTGTCTCAACCGCGGTGGTGCCCATATCGAGAACGTGAACTACAAGAAGTTCGCGTAAACTTGTGATCGCAGGAACTCCTCTGCCCTCTGGCAAGGAGTTATAGCACTGATACGAGAGTAACCTTGTTGAAAAACGACAAACGTGAGCTTTCATATGGTGTATGTTTTAATGCGTTAATACTTGTCAAGCGTTTATAATACACGTTTGAAACTGTGACACTTTTTTCGGAACACCCTGTATGTGTTGACAAAAAATAAGTGAGGATCTATGATCTCACTGGATCTCCAGCAAAAAAATGAGACTCGGATCTGTGATCCCTACGGATCTCTCGATAAATTACAGAGCTGGATCTATGATCCCTTCGGATCCGAGATCAGGATCCGTGGGATCAGATCCCAGATCCATTTTCTCGGATCTATGCACATGTCTGGTCCCAGTTATTGTGACAGTTTGTGAAATCTGGGTAAACTAATAGAGAAAAAATCAAATATTTGATCTCAACCTAAATTCATTGCGCAAATGATCCAAGAACCTTACAAATTTTGGCGTAGTGACCTTTTGATGCCATACTTCATATCCCAGCCCCATAAGTCGGATGTGTATTGTTGGATTTTGTACATCAAAATATTTGATATGATAACCGACGTACCGATTCAGAAAATGTGGAAAATAGACACCATGGATATCCGGACAATGAACGCACGGATATCCATGTCATCGCCGAAGCTGATGCATATGTTGTGTGATGTTGCGTTCCAAGACCGCCAGAAATCTAACAAAAAAAAAACAGAACTAAGTGTTCTTCGAACAATGAGAAGGCACCCGATATAACTCTGTTTCCGTTTACCCAACAGGTAGCTGTTCAGGTAGACGGATCCACGTGTGTGTTTCCCTATCGACCTCTGTGTGCGAGTATAGGCCGACCGGTGTGCCGTCGGCGACAACAATATTATCAGTGATATCAGAGCCGCTATGACGGGCCATCCATCAGACCAACTCGATTAGCATCGGAGATGTGCGCCGCGGCGTGAGGTCAGAGGTGATCCCGGCCGAGCAGCATCACTTACCCCGGCCAGGAGCATCGCTCAGCCCAGGCAGGGCAGCGACCGCGGCACCTATCCCAGGCAGGGCAGGGCAGCGAGCAGCGGCGCCTACCCCAGGCAGGGCAGGGCAGCGACTGCGGCGCCTACCCCAGGCAGGGCAGGGCAGCGACTGCGGCGCCTACCCCAGGCAGGGCAGGGCAGTGAGCAGCGGCGCCTACCCCAGGCAGGGCAGGGCAGCGAGCGGCGACCCTATAGCCCAGGCAGGGCAGCGATACCGCGGTCCACAGCGCGTGCCGAATCACATCAGCTGACCGCCGATATAAATACGGGCCGACCGGGCTGCGGTAGCGGGGGCTAAGTCCGTTATTGCGTGCTCATAATCTGTCTGTCGTTTGCATCGGCTGTCCATCTGCTCTGCATCGGCTTTGCATCGGCTGTATCAGAGATGAGCACTGAGCACTGAGCAGTGAGCACCTTGATATGGTGATCAGATATCCTCGAAGGACGATTCCATTTGTGAGGGTCGCCTACAATCCTAAGCAGGTTCCAAGTACAATATTTCTCTCAGCACGTCTGGTTTGTATTTTAGCAGCGATGACTCGCGTTTTGCTTGCATATATTTTGCGATACATATGTATACGCATAAACCTTTCTGGACCTCTCATCATCTCATGTGATACAAAATTCGACACAATTATGTGAGCGATCCACAACGGAATTTTGAAAACTCTCTGCTAGTGATTTACACGTTTATGAATTTATTAGCTAAGCTCCGGTTATTTTATGAGTAATATGTAGTAATCAATCATTATACCTATATACGTAAATCATTGTGCTAGTCCAGTTCCCGAAACTGGATACACAATGCTCGTCAGCTACTTCGCCGCATGGGTGTTGCCATGAATATAAGATATTTTGCCCAAATCTGTTTCATAAGTGGAAGCTTCTGCTACTCAAATCTATTACGCTTAGCTTGTAGGAATTCCTTCTTAAAGTTGCGGAGCTGTGTCTCACATTCAAGATATTTGTCTTGTCAAAATGCTGCTATTCTTCCTCCGTCTTCTTCTCTGTGTCTATCGATTGATACGAAACAAAGGTGTGCTTCACGGACGCTCGCGTGTTGTGCTGAAGGAGTGGGAACCAGGGCACCCTCTTCACTCTTGATACTGCTTGAAAAGCCTACAGGAAGCGAAGCGGGTTGGAGCACCACCCTTGAAACAAAAAGGCTTTGTTGCTCACAAAGTATTTGATTTTTGTTCGTTATAATTTCACATCACAAGCAGCCCTGAGCCCCTGAGCCTGTTGCAAGCTATTGTTTTATCCAAGAATGGGATCCACGATGGGTTTCAAGCAATTGACACGAACATTCGTGTCATATACAATCTTATATGATGTGTAAGGTTGACTCATGAACTGGTATGCAGGCAAATTAAAAACATCCCAATCATGCATCACTTTTTCGGTTCATGGAGAAAGCGTAATGTTTTTCCCACATGGGCGTGAAATCCAGAGCCGTTCGCGCGCGGAGTGCCGACTATGCTTTCATATTAGATAAGCCACATGTAGTTTCATGCAACAACACAAAACAAAAAGTGCTATCGCTCGACAGTAACAAAGCCCCAAACATGTATTCTCATTGATAATTCATTCACATCATTGTACCCTCATACTTCACATCCTCCCGAACTCTGGGCGCCCCTCCCCCTCCCCCCTCCCCCCTCCCGTCTCCCCGGCCTCCGGGTGTTGCACACGTCGCGTCCACCCGTCTGCAGCTCACCCGGCCAGCTCCGCGCCCGCCCGCAGCTGCCGCAGCCAGCTGACAGCTGCCCCGCTGAGCGTCTCGCGCTGACCGCTCCCGCAGCATGTCCAATGTGTTCTTCTTCCGTCTGCGCTCCCTGCGCCGCGAGCAAGAGCGGCGCAAGACCTCGCGCTCGAACGTGCTCACAGTGGCCCCGAGCCGGCTGTTCGAGAGAACACCCATGGAGCCAGCAGACAGTCTGGACAAGGTGGCCGAGGCCATCCCCAGGTAACTGAGGAAGGGCAGGGGAGGGAGGGAGAGGAAGAGAGCCTGGGCAAGGTGGCAGAGGCCATCCCCAGGTAGCTGAGGGAGGAGAGGGGAGGGAGGGGAGAGGAAGAGAGCCTGGGCAAGGTGGCGGAGGCCATACCCAGTGAGGGAGGGCAGGGGAGGGAGGGGAGAGGAAGAGAGCCTGAGCAAGGTGGCGGAGGCCATACCCAGGTAGCTGAAGGGAGAGGGGGACGCAGGAGCCCTCTGAGGGGGCACGGCGTTTGAGATGATTGTGGTGGACGTATGTGTATGCGTTGTGAAATGTTTCACCTGCATTGATGAGACGAATGCTACTTTTTGGCGGTGATTGGGTAAAACTTAACAACGGTCGACATTGTGGCAGAGTTTCTCTTATCAACTAATGATAATGGAGGAGTTGGTCTATTTCACTGAAGCGCAGCTGTGACCCTCAGGACTGTAGCAAGCCTGATCTGGACGGTAGATACCTCCATTGAATTCAGGTCCAAGTGTTCCGTTCCATAGATTAACTATTGTTCGTGTAGCTAATCAGATAGATTACAGTCGCATGGCGTGGTGATCTCATCAACTGCCTAAGAGCGTCAAGGTGCGTAATCCCTTCATATCGGACATGAAATAAAAACGGTGCAGACATCTCCCATCATGTTTTGTTTCCTTCTATATCAGAAGCACAGCATTTTGTGATTAATGCTTATTTGCATCGTGCGACATATTCGCATGATGAAAACATCTAAATATCATCACATGGGCCCCAGCCGACGACAGCATAGGAACCTACATGTACAGTTTTATCACAAATTTGTGCATACCACAATGATTGACAGAAATCGTTTGCGCTTTAGATTTGCATTAATATAGAATAGCCGCCCGTTGCGATCAATGACTCCTGCGAAACATTTCTCAGTCTTGGGAGTCGTTCCTAATTAACATCGGCCTCAGCTAATCGTCTAATCGCTTTTACCTGTTCTTCCTTTCCATGGGGAAGTGCTTGGGTCAATGCCTGGGCGCAGCACTAAGTGGCGTGCGGTCAAGCTTCACGTAACTAATTGGCAGGAGCAAGGGCCTGAAAATGCGGTTTTACGCTCTGGGCTTCGATGTGTGCGTGTGGACACTCCAGACAATTGAAAAGAATTAACAGGATATGCCAATGTTAAACCTGTTGATTGAACTGTGGATTGCTGCTCAACAACGACGAGTGACACTTGGAAGTGTCTAGGTTAATTCTTCTCAGCTGTGGATAAATATATGATGACGAAAGGTATGAGAGAGAAACAATGGAAGTGAAAGAAGCAGATGAGGTGATAATGAAGCAAACTATAAGTCAAATGCCTACAAATTATAGGCATTTGACCGATCTGTTTTCAGTTATTCAGCAGGCACCGGCACTCGTTACGCCCGGCTTCAGGGAGGTGTAGGGGTGCCTTCCGAATCGATGCACTGTTAAGGATTTAGGACGTTGATCTTGATGAGGCTTCTCATTGCCTTAATGTGACGGGTGCTCCGTTTTGCAGTGGCAGCAACGAATGCTGCTGAGATTTTTCGGTGTCGAGGAATAGAGCCGCTGTGCTCAGCGCTGATGCTGATCCACGAGCGACAATCAGCTGCTGATTATGACCCATTTTCGCTGTCGGTGATCAACCATCACATGTCATGTTGTGGTTGCGAAGAACGCTAATTGCTTTGTTGCAGCTATACAAGCATATCTAATGGTTAAATAAGTTATTTTGAGCTCCCTTGCTTACATGCATTCGTAAAGCAAATATGCGTAAAAAATCAATTAAATGATACAAAGAGTCGGTAATTCGAAGCTACTTGATTACGCTAGAGTTGATCACGATCAAGGTCGGCTTTAGTTCAGGCAAACAACTTTCATTCCCATTTCGCATATGATCGGCATCAGCAAGACCGGGCAACTGCAACGCTGCAGTGGCGCTATCCCTGCGCCGACCGACACTCCCGTGTCGGCTCGGCCGTCCGGCAGCGCGCCCCAGCAGTCAGAGGTCGCCCAGTAATAATTGCCTGTGCGGCGCGCCGGACCGTGCACTGGACGCACTCGAGCGGCGATAGGTCGAATTTCACGGCGTCCCGAGGCCGTGTTAGGTGGCGTAGCCATGGAAACGGACGGGATCAATCCGGCCGACCGATGTCAATAGTGATCGCAATCCGGCATCGACGCGTGAGCGGCATCGGCCGGCTTATCCGGCTGAAAAACAGTGCCGCACCCTCGGCTCGGCGCGGCTCGCCGCCAGCCGCCGCTGCCAGGTGATGCCCGTGACCGGTGGTCGGTACCGTGTGGGCGCGCGACGCGTGTGTCTCATCCGCGCCAGCAGAGTCAGTTAGCATGTGTCGTGACTGACTACTTGACTAGTGATGCGCCGCCTACAGCGTCAGTGCGCGCTTCAAGGACAGACTCAATTTTTCAGAGCCAATCCCCGCGGCCGGTCCATAATACATCGGTCTGGTTCCTAATTAGACCGCATCGATTCGTGGGCTTATAACGGCGAACAGAGCGATATGCATCGATCGCCGGCGGGCCGGTGATCCGGTATTACACGCATTCGGCGGTGGTCCCGGGAGGCGGACGGACGGAGTGACCGGCGCAGGGCGACGGTAGTGGCGCGTCAGAGACACAATTCGCCGTCACCTCGGAGCCAAGATCGTGTCGCCGTTCGTGTGTGCGTCAGCAGTGGTGACGGTGGTGGCGGCGGCAGCGGCGGCGGCGGCGGCGGCGGGGTCGAGGACTAGGTGGTAATCGCAGAATCTGCTGGCTCAAGCCGATCGCCTTAGTTTGGGCTGTGTGGCGTTTTTGTGCTGAGCTGAGCTCCGATTCTGCGCCGGGGACGGCCCGCCGACAATTCCCGTCGGATAGAGAGGGACGGACAGAGCGGGCTCCCCGGCAGGGACGGCACGGAACGGGACGGGACGGGACGGGACACGGGACGGGACGGGACGGGACGGGACGGGACGGGACGGGACGGGACGGGACGGCGCCTATCTTCCAATGAAAGGCCATCTTTCAGCTCATTTTTCATGCTAAACAAAAGCTTAATACCTACCTTGTTGAGCCTTATCATTTTTCTCACCGCTGATTCAATTATTTTGATGTTTGACAGCCTGTATTTTTGTATCGATTGTGTCTGTTTTTCCATTCTGCAGTAAGTGCGCCATTAACTAGCGCTCACATTTTGTGAGTGTTTGTTAGCTAAGTAGCACAGGCCGGTCCCTACGTGGCCTCACTTAGTGTAATTACCAGGGGTTAACCAGGCGCCGCTGTCGAATTGCCCAGTTAGGAGAATGACTCCAATGATTTAATGAGCGGATTGTGAGCCGATCGGCGCGCGGTGGCCGCCAGTTGTGTGGACGATACAGGCCCGAGCGGTCGCGGCTGCCCGACCCTCCCGCTGGTGTCAGTCACCGGCCGCGGTCCACCGGCCCGGTACCCAGGTGGGCCGGCGATCTGACCCCTGCCGCCGCCGCCGCCGCCGCCGCCGCCGCCGCCTCCAAATCGCCGCTGTGGGCGGCGGCCAGCTGCGACCGGCCCCTCAGAGCCGACCCGGCCCAGCCGTCAACCGGCCGACTCCCGCAGGTGTGCCGCGGCCGTCGTCCGTCGCCACTCGAGTAGCGACGAGTGCGTCTGCCGGCCGTTAAACCGCACTCGACCGTGCCCAGTCAGCGGCCCACGGGCGCCCCCAGCGGGTCAAAGGTCAGCAAGAACCTGTCCACGTCGTGCGGACGTCACGTCGGACGTGCGGACGTGACTGTGAGATTGTGAGGACGGACGAGTGGGGACTGGCGACGGCACCTGAGAACTGAGGCCGAACCGATCGCGTGTGGTGTCTGACCTCGGTCCGGAATTTGGTGGGCTACAATCAAGACAACTGCGAGATAGACGAAGCAAAAGTTGTCTCACTTTTTACTGTTCTTGTTAAAGCAGCGTCTACCTTGGAGGCGAGTCACAATCAACGCAGAACAAAACAAATCCAACTCTCAACAGCGCCCTAAAACCAAACCAAACAGCCCGAGACGAACGTCAGCACAGGCTCCGATCACCGGGCATTCCGTGGTGCCGGTCCACCCTCACGTGCGCCTTCTGCCGCGCCACGTGCCGCGCTCTCCTGACACCGTCACGAGGCCATCACCATGAGGCGGCAGCGCTCGGCCGACGCCGTCTACCAGAGCATCTGCCAGGACGAGGACGGCGCGTGCTCAGTGCGGCTGCTCTCCAGTCGCGGCGACTCGCTGGACGAGCCGGCTGAGGAGCTCCAGCCCTGCGGCTCCCACCTGTGGCCGTTCTGCTTCCACGCCGCCGGCAGCTACGAGGCCATCCCGCGGTATGTGCGCAGTGACGTCATTGGTGGGCAGCCGTGACGTCATTGGTGACTGGTGGTGCGGTGGTCATACTGCCCGCCGGTCAACAAGGTCATAATGATTAACTTGATCGTGTGCATCGAGTTGAAGCAGTAACTGTTCATGCAGACGCCGTAAAGTTAAATGGTTTGTAATATTGCATTGTGCGAGAATACAAAGCATTTCCTAATAGCCGTGATTGTTATAACGTTAATTTACTGATGGTATCTTTGGGCCATTGATAAAGTGGCAAAATCAAATTGTTTGGCAAGAAATTGACGGTGCCCAGAACCCTGAATATGCTCACTGAGGGGAGAGTAGATTAATCCCAGTAGAAACCCGCTCTTTACCTTCCATGTTAGCTCGTATACCTACGCACCAGCTAGAGGCATGAGCTTTTGGGGAAACATAGGACATAAGGGTCAATTTTTACGAAACCTAGCTGGACTATGTGGAATACCTATTGTCATGTAGAAATAACACATGAAGTTCCAGCTATATTTGTAAGAAATCGTAATCGATTTTTAATCGTTAATGATTTAGTGATCGGGTGAAACCTACTTCTGTCCGTTGAGAAGTGCCCCGTGGGACAGACAACCTTGCCTCTAAAACAGCTGCCCCGAAATGTGTGCTTCAATGGGGACCATGCTCTCCCCCGTTTAGTATGTGGAGTGATCGTCAGCACGGACCAAGGAAGTGTGATCAAGAGCTCTGTTCGCCCCCCGTTTATTTATCAGCAGGCTGCGAGCATGCTGCTACTTCGTGGCTCCTCATTGGTCGAATTCAAGTGGTCTATTCGTTAGACCAATGAGAGGCCAAGAAGCGCCAGCAATAACTTCCTTATATGGGGAAAACCGACAGCACGCTGATATAAAAACAGCGACCAAACTGAGCTTTGGACGCGAATGGGCTGGTCCTGACGTGCTTGAATCGTTACTAATATAATTTTTCAGGTGCTTAAAGTGTTCGCACGTCTACAGGTCTTCCACATAGCTTACATACGCCATTACTTTGGACATGTGGGCTTTTACTATAACGATGTGAGCCTTTCTGACCACGATATTATTTCAGGAGAAACCAACGATGGAGACACTCTCATTTGTACATCAGTTATTTCAGAAGCATATGCTTCGTCATTTGACAAAAAGACAGCAATACAACTTTGCCATGTTTTTGGTATTTCCTGTGGAATATTAATGTTTCTCTTTTCGTCTGTTTCAGAGTCCGCGTCGAGTACTACGTCAACGAGAACACGCTGAAAGAGCGGCTGCACCTCTACTTCATCAAAAATCAAAGATCTAGTAAGTGTGTCCAGTTCCACATTATTTTATTACTACCCGCGTCTAAGTGAGCTCTACATCGCATGTAACTCGCTACATTATTGTCATAAGCTATGTCGCTGTAATAATATGGGAGCTATTTGTATATCACTATTTACTTCTAGATCTAGTTTGATTTAGGGTAGACGCTTGACCTCAGACATAATTTCTAGTTATATTTAACAATCTGGTCCAATGTCACGAGATAAGCGATATGGCCTACCAATATGGCTACGCAGAAAATGATATCTCTCTCTCTCTCTTTCTCTCTCTCTCTCTCTCTCTCTCTCTCTCTCTCTCTCTCTCTCTCTCTCTCTCTCTCTCCCTCTCTCTCTCTCTCTCTCTCTCTCTCTCCCTCTCTCTCTCTCCCTCTCTCTTTCTCTCCCTCTCTCTTTCTCTCCCTCTCTCTCTCTCCCTCTCTCTCTCTCACTCATGATTTTGCAGTTGTTTTCTTGCACGTTAAATCAACAGTGTTAAAGTTTGATCTTTAGATTAACCCGCGCCCCGCTGGGGGGGGGGGGGCAGAATCTGCCCACCTCCCGTTTTTCGCCAATAACTTCTAAACGCGTTACGCCGGCGACGTCAAACTTTCAGTACCTTATCATACATCAATTTGACACGTTCCCTGAAAATTACAGCAAAATCCGTCGGAAAAATTTTGGAGAAATTGACGTTTTAGTGACGTCATGTTCGCTATTTTCGCCTCAAAAACGGCAAAATTTCAAACGCCGCTAACATATTCATTTTTGAACGAATTAAGACGTAACAAAAAAGGTTATATGTGATTCTACTTTGTCTATCAAATGGCAATCTCGTTTTTTCAAAATTTTGGATTTTGGCCCAAATTTTAAAAAAACTGACTTTTTTGGAAAAATAATTATAAAATCCAAAATTTTGAGTGTATCAAAAAAACCAAGTTATTATTTGAGTTATTCAAAATTTTATGACGTCACGACAAAAAATTTTTGAAAATGACTTTTGGAAGTTCTAGACCTCGTATGGGAACAAATATAGCACCATTCGATTCGCCGTGAAAAACTGCATCAGATAGACACATTTTTAGGCCTTAACAACCAACTTCAAAATTTGACCTCACTTGACCTGACCTTGACCTGACCTCGACCTGAAATTCATCCAGAGGTGGTCCGTATCACTTATTGAGTGTGCCTATTGAATTCTATGAGTAAAATGACCCATAAAACATGTGTCGCACATGCCCTTTTCTATATTTTGTTTTTGGTGACCTGACCTGACCTGGCCTGACCTTGACCTTGACCTTTGAATGACAGTGTATGCAACGAATATTGTCTTGGTAGTCTAAGAACACGTTTTGGGCAATCAGTCTCAGTCCATTCTTCGGCAACTACGGTGCAAGGCCGATACTGTAGAAACTTGCATTTTGTACCCTTGACCTGACCTTGACCTGACCTCTGACCTACTTAAGCAAAAAAATGTGGGCTCTTAAGATCCGCCTTGTTGAGAGCTTTCGATTGCCGTTTTCTCCGTCTTTCTACGACCATCGGTTCGGAAGTCAGACAGGGGGGGGCCGAATCTGCCCTCCCCCCCCCCCCCCCAGCAGGGCGCGTATGGCTGAATAGCCCAGCGGGGCGCGGGTTAAGAAAAGAATAGGTAAAAAAATGAATGGATTTTAGCTTGCCTATAAAGCAAACATGTTTTATATCAAGATAGATTTTGAACGCTGTTCGTTCTCTAATTTTGCTATATTGTTCATTCGCTAGCATGTCTGCTTCCCCATTATTCTAAGAACTTTCATTTCCTTATAGCACAAATGCAAATACCGCAAAGCTACGTGGCGAAATGGCGCTTCATATAGGTTCTGCCGTGTGTGAGTCAAACCCTGTGGCCAAATGCTTATTTGCGGATACCGGGATCTGCGCTACCCAGGTTAAAGGATGCCTGACGTGCATGCTAAATTTCAAACCCAGCAAACACAAGCAAATTTGGTAGTTTCCGCAGCTTCACCGATGTTGTGCCTTGACCAGTTGGCTAACGCATAAACTGTGGTCATTGGGGATCGCTCTCAAAATCTGTGGGCTTTTGGGCTCAGTTACAGGTTCCCCGCATTTCAAGGTGCTGATTCTTTTGTAATTTGAGCGGTAAGACCGTGCTGCATTGAACAAATAAACACACCGTTATCATCGCCGTCCTTTTTAAAGGCATTTCGGCAAAGAAACTTGTGTTCCCTATTGACGCGATGTTTGTTTTCAGGCCTTCGGATACGTATTTTCAACTTGGTGATCAAGCTCCTAACCTGTGTGCTGTATATCGTTCGTGTGGCTGTCGACCAGGACCCCATAAATGCCACTTGGTGAGTACCCCGGCGCAGGAACGGACAAGGCTTCGTGTGTTCAGTTGCATGCTATAAAATGAAACAAAATTCGATTTGTTTGTTCCATCACAGTTTCTGTATTGTCGAGCATTACATTGCAGTCGCCTTCCTTTATGTAGGGAATCCATGTAAATTGACATACCAGATGGCAAATACATACATGATAAAGATTGTTGGTAACTTACTATAAATACGTGCATTCAATACTTTTTAATCATCCTACTTACATTGGTATTGCTTGAACGTTAATAAGCCAATAGAATGTGAGCAACTCAATGAGATGGACGCCTAATTATCAAGGTTTTAGCGTGATGCGAGTATTCCAGTTTCATAGCTTGCATGACCTGTGACCTATCGGCCATTTTACCCTCTCAGTGGCCAATGGGCTGGTAATGGCACAGACGGTGCAAATTCGAGCTCGACAGAACACTTACCTGAGGTGTGGGGTGCGACCAAGTAGGTGTTGTGACAGGAGGTGTCAATTACTTGTCCAGTTCCTAACACGTGTGGTGTGATTGATAAATGACGTCTATTAAGTTTCTTAGGGTTGAGTTAAGATGATATGTGAAGCTAATGAACGTTAGGTTTTTCCGTCGAATGACCTGCAAATAGCCTACTGGCTCTGCTTGGAAATGTTATAATTCGACCTAACTTATTATAAATTCCAAGACAAGCTTTTTCAATAAATATTAAGAGCAGTTGAATGTTTTGGATAGACAATAACCATTATTTGCTCCTCGTCACCCCACGTAACATTGATTGCGCTTCAATAAGACTGTTGAGTGGCTTTGTTGTTCTTGTCCTGCTTTATAAAATCTACTCATTAAAACGACTATTTGAGTCGTGCTGTGCGGCTACTAATCCAACTGTGTATTATCGTAAATGAATATGCGTTTTGGCAGCCCTCATCGTGGGCAGTTCATTTATTTTTAACATACAGCTTATTAAAGGGACTATCCCACCTTTAACATGGGGTTTGAGTTGAGATAGCCAAATTTGCGGCGAGGTTCAGAAACCACTATCTATCTAGGTTGCAACCCCCGCGGCCTCTTGGTGTTGAAGAAATTCGTTCCCTTCATTTGAAAATGGGCCTTGCGCAAGGCCCTATCTTCAACATGGAGCGACCGTTAGTGTGACGTCACCTCGTTTAGTCATTCTGATTTAAATGGGTTTGTTTGTTGAAAAATCGCTTAAAACTTGGTCTGAACTTTGTTGTGGTGCCTACAGAGTAAAAAGAATCAGCTTTATGACAGTAATGTGGCCTGGGGAAGGAGGTAATTTTGGGCTGTGACGTCACATATTTGAAAGTTTGTGTTTGGAATATGGGAAGCCTAAGATGTTTAATGAAAAATAAATGCCAGAACCGTGTTCCTGGTCATCCAATCTATAAAGTCGGGCACATTTTAACTGGTTTTAAGTTTGTACTGCGTTGACCAATCAATACGGCTGATGACACGCCCGCGCCGTAGCTGCGCCCACGATGTGCTGTGCGCCGCTATTGGAGGAGCCCTCCATCGACGGCTCGCAGGCGCAGCTGCGGTATTCGGCGCCAGAGAGGTACAGCACTGTCTATCACGTACACTGGCCAGTCTGCTGTGACCGGCACAACCCGAAGTAGAACATTTGCATTTTGTCGTTGAAGCTAGTGCTAACGCCACCACTGCCAGAGTACATACCTGTATTCTTACAGGTACTAGTCCAGGGATGTCCAAAGCAAACTGCCGGCCAATAAATCTCATTAATGTGGCAAATGGAGTGCATTATTATACACTTTACACTGTCATGTATAGTGTATAGTCTATATCCCGCGCACCGACGGGGGGGGGGCGGATATCCGCCCCCCCCCTGAGGTTTTTCGCGAATAGCGGGAAAACCGCGGCGCGTAGCGCCGCGAAATTTGGTATGACTATAACCTCATCAATTTTACACATGGTGTGCAAGTTTGAACCTCCTACCTTTTAAGGTCAGGTCACCAGGTCACTTTGAATGACCCAACCTCAAGTCACTTTTTTGCAACTTTGTCACCGTGCCAGAGCTACAGTAGATGTCAGAGGCCTTTGAAACTCACAGGATATTATAAGGTCATTAGTAGCTACAATTTGTATATCTCGGAATTTTGATATCGGTGACCTAAGGTCAGGTCAATTTCGCGACCTCCCCATTATAAGTCAATGGGGGAAAAATCAACTCCCTGTTTTTACCACTAAAACGGGTCGGAATGGCCCCATATACCATACATGACTTCATATACGATCAACCTTCACTACCTTGAGGTCTGTTTTGCTGTTGGGCAGCTGTGAGGTCATGTGACGTCATCAAAGGTCACCAAAGGTTTTTGGCCAATAACTCCGTACAGGAACAAGATACAGACGCGTGGATGGTCTCATTGTGTTCAGCTCGTCAAGACGCATCGAATGATATACATGATGACCTCGAGGTCACGTGACCTGAGGTCAACCTTTGACCTTGACCTTTCGAGGTCAACATATATATCATTCGATGCGGATTGACGAGAGGATCACGATGATGCCCTTAGTTTGTTCCTATCTTGACTAATTCGAAAGTTATTCGAGAAAAACTCTCTCCATATCTAGCGCCGCCATTTTGACTTTTTCGACCCCTGTGACGTCATCTTTGACCTGACCTGAAAATGACCTTAGTAAAAATTGTAGATCTTGGCCGTGCGTATCTGATGCCGTTTACCGCTTGTCGCTATCTTGCTTCGTTCTCGAGATCTCAGGGGGGGGGGCGGTCATCCGCCCCCCCCGTCGGTACGAAGTTGGCGCAGACCCCCGTCGGTGCGCGGGATATACTCGTATATTATAGTATACACTTATACACTGTCATGCTGTTTGCTATTGGTATTATTCTTGGTAAACAGATCCCTCAACTACCATTGTGTTGCTGTGGAAACGCGTGGCATTGCATAACATATGCTTCGTCATTTGTTTACCACTTCCCTTGTGACATAACAGCAACATTGAGGCGATAATATTCCTGGTTTATGAGTGGGTGACCTACAACAGCGCTTAGCGCGATGGTCGGGACGATCGTCCGGTCCACTTAGCTCTGTGTGGCGAATACCCATTACCAACAGCGTAAACTTCCGACGGCCAATCGCCCAGGCGGCACCCTCAGAACTGGACCGTAGAGGTAGAGGCCAGAAGGGTAAAAATAATGTTTTTTTATTAGCTGTCTACTTTCATTGAGCTGCAGCTAAAAGGACATAAATTGCTGTTGATCGGGACATTGTATTCTGAGCCTTTTTAATACCAATCAGTGTTTATTTATGTTAAATTCTTGACAAATGGTATCCATTACAAATTTACAAAAGTCAGCAGTTGATGGCCACATCTTATCGCAATGATCCTGTAATCACTGAAAGAATCTAAAACCTCAAGCGACATGCTATCACAGGCGTCGGGGGGAAAAATAAAAATGACGTCTTAACCGAAAATAAGAATAACATCATCGAATTGCATTCAAAAGCTTACACAAGTTTCAAGCGCCTTCTTCAAGTAATCTCCTTTGAAGTGAGAGCTAGAGTGAGTGCATGGGGAGACAATCGGATTAGGAGAGATACTCAGATCAATATCCTGCTTTTATAGCCCAGGGAATCCTGTTGTGTGCCCGTAGGTCTTCAGTACCAAGACACGCCTGTTTTGAGCGCACATGTGGCAGTGCCCACATGAGTATACATGCATGCCATTCTAGTCTTTCTGACTTATGAGCTTCTCCCAAGCACTGCTCATCTTAACGTTATTTGGGCTCGAACTGACAAACGTTGAGTTAAAGTAATTGACCAATACGGATCATTAGACTCGCATTGTGAGCCCTCCAGTGATTGCTCACGCAAATCATTGAGCACATGTCCGCTCTGGTCGTAGATTGCCCCTCTCGCTCCGCTGAATCTGCGCCGCGAATGGCGACTCTGCCGGTGTGTTGGTATCGAGTCACGTTGCGGAGCTCGGCTCGGTATTTGCTCATGGAAGGAAGCACATCGCCGGTCAGAGGGGTCGTAAACACTTCTGAGCTTACCGATTGCACCAATGAACCGCGCTCCCGACCAAAGGAGCGTAAAACTTCCGCTAAATTACATGAAAGTGTAATGGTATTACTCGATCGAATGTTACGGGCCAGCCGTTTCGTACCAAGTCACGTTAGTGGGGAATTCTCAGAAAGGTATTACGTGATAGACGAGTACCAGATGAGGCTTTGTCGCGACTTGACGGTTAGAGAAACGAGACCATTTGAACTTGATTCTTTCTCTGTAGCACTCGTAGGCGTTACTTGAAGTTGGAGATTCTTGTGTGGATTATGCATCCCCCTACTCCAGTAGCGAAACAAAAGTGTATGTCAAAAAAGATAAACAAAGGTGGTTTGCTAGAAATATGAATGCAATTTGTTTAATTGTATGCTTTTTAATGTGGTTATTCAGTAGGGTAGTGTGGGGTAATTTGAACATATTTTTACGTCTTCTCCGTTGTACCAAATTCCAGTTCAACCCTGGATGAAGAAAAACTGCTTCAGTAGCGCAAGTGTCACTTGCTTTCACCATGCAAGCCTCATTTTTGGACGAGCCGAGCATACCTTGAATAGCATAGCCTCACTTCTCCACCAAGTCACGGTGTGTTCAAATTGCCCAACCGTGGGGTAATTTGAACATACTGCCTTTACCTGTCATAAAAACGATAGTCTCGCCAGCACCGATGTTGTTTGACCCATAAACAAATAGGCAGAACAATTCTAAACATACCTTCACTTGAAAAATCAACACAACAGCAAAAATAACAGTTGCAGAGTATCAATATCTGCACGCTGCACACCGGTCAGTTGACAGAATTCGCCCCTCTTCAGTTAACAGAACGTCTTATCATTTTCGTTCGACAAAAACTCTCCCAACCGTACTACATCTGTAAAAGTGGTGCCAATCGAAACCTGGACATTTGGAGTTCTGATTTTGTCCAATGTCCAATTCGGAATTGTTTGGACAAAGGTAACAGACTGGACAATATTGGACGATGGCTTGCTACACTTCAGCGCTTTTTATAAAGTAATCGTGCATAGCATTGATTGGCGAATGGAAAGCTTGTTAAGATCTCAATATAATGAACACTTTTCGGCTGGTAAAATTACATGATAAGCAATATAAATGACGGTTTTGAGTGTTGATAGCTGCATAATTTTCGGACATATTTGGACAATTAGTTGACTTTAACATTTTTGGACGGAAAATCAACAAAAATGCCGGACATTAGACGGATATTAGACGTAAATTTTCTAAAACTGGCATCACTTATCTGCTACTGCCTTGGGTCGAAAATATTGGCAAAAAATAAAACTGGGAGCGTTGTTTCTTTCGGAGGTATCCTTGTCTTCATTCAAATTCTCACACTATGTTCAAATTACCCCACGCTAAAAGTTATTTTGCCATTAAAAAAAAACAGGGTTCAAAAGCAAATTTCTTGGATTGACGGCGCTGATTAGGTCATTATACAACAAAAGCCGTTGCGTATTAGGCGCTAGCAATGCAAGATTTTGCGCTGCAATGAAGTTGCAATGACGTGTTGTTAGGCGTTTTTCCTTGCGAAATTGTTTTTTTACACTGTGCGTTAACATCTTCATTCCCTGAAACTTAAAACCCCGTTCATATGATAGCCCTTTTAGTTACGATAATTTCTCTCATTGGTCTTATTGTCATGCCACTTATGGATTTTCCGTAATTTTCTGTTATTCACACTATGTTCAAATTGCCCCACATGTTCAAATTACCCCACTTTACCCTATATAATGATGTTTTCGACTTTGAACTCATCGACGACTATGCCGCTCGATGGTGCAACAAATCAAATACACCTGAGTATAGCAGCTAACAACGATTATCATCTGTTCACTAGTTGCCATTTCATTCAATCGTACAATTATGACGATGAGAGCGAGCTCGACGCTGACCTTCTCTTTCAATCGTTTTTCATTTTTCGGACGGCCACAGCTGCCCACTGCATGCACGCTGGCCGCGCGCGGCCGCTGCGGGCCAAATGTCAGTCCGCCCGGCCGACACTCACAGCACTCTGTCGGCCTGTCACCGAGCAATGGAGGGATTGACCTCCACGGTCCAATTCATCAACCGACCTGGCTTCACCAGTCACTTCACTACCCTCCAATAGATGCCTTTACTGCTCCCTGCGTTAGTGTGTGCGCTGCCTTAGCACCGGAGGGGCGCTTAAAGGTGTTTTATTTGGTTTATTGTTTATCATTTTGCTAAGATATCCAGTTGCCTTTGCACACCGACATGCATGCTAATTCACGCAAGAGTATCATTTTACCTGAGAGTTTTTATTGTATGTTTCACATATTGTTTTCTGCTTTATCGGTTCCTTCAGTACCTCCAAATAGATTCCTTCACTTCTTCACGGCTATGGTTTCTGTTGTCAGCGTTTTGCCATCAGTCAGCCCCTCCTATTGTGTTCATCCGGCTACTGACTGGCCCCTCCCGTCCTCAGTTTTGGCTGTCCGGCGCCGGACCGGGCCGTGTTCGAGAAGAACAGCAACCTGACCAAGGAGCAGTTCATGGAGGTGCCCAGCCACGAGGCCATCAACTGGGCGGCCATCTGGTTCGTGGACCGCCGGCTCGAGCTCTGGATCACGCAGACCGTGCTGGCGCTCGTCAGTCTTTCCGAGGCTCTGCTCCTGGCCTATCTCACCTATAAGGTGAGTGGAAGGCACCGCCCGGCACGAACAGGGATGGTGCCAGAGTACGAGGGACTCGGGGTGTTGCATTCCTCATTTCATCATAGCTGTATAGCTTATCATAGATAGTCAATGCTGGTTTTAGGGATGAGGGGGCATGCTTCGTTGCAATTCGAAACTTTGAATTCTAAGAATCTCCGATGGTATGGTCTTTGGCATGATTTAAAAGTTACTTTTAGATGTAATCTTTGAAAGCATAGGATAAGTATGGGCTAGCATGCATTCTTATGTGGTGATGAATATAGCGCAAATAATGTGTGCTTAACATGTGCAATGTTCAGCATCTACGTGTCCGGTGCAATGCCGATTGTTCGCCTCTTGCAGGAAACGCTACTATTGCTGATGTAGCATTCATCTATTCTTACAGGGTAACTTGTGGCAGCAACTATTGAACTTCTATTTTATACTAGAACTGGTGAACACCATACCTTTTATGGCGACGGTAAGAACTATAAAGGCAATTATGCTTTAGCTTGTCTTGAATTCCCTTTTTTATTCGATATATCGAATGCTAACGATTTTGTTTCCGCATATAAACTCCAAATAGCCTCACTCTTTAGTTTGTGAGAACGTTTCCCGCCAATGTGTTCGCTTTGTTCGGGATTGTTTTTACAACCCCCGACGGAGTCTCTCAGTTCGCTAGTTGCGGTCGTGCTTGATGGTTTAACTCGATTGCCGTTATTCTGTTCACGGCTGTCGGCGATAACAATCGCGTTACGAACCGCATTATTTAGCTCCTGTAAATTAACCCTATTCCTGGCGGGGGGGCCTCAGGAGCTCCCCCTGAGGTTTTTTGGTTATTTCTCCCAAACGCGTTGAGCTAGGAAGCTCAAATTTTCTGACTTTTCTTAAAAGGCTTCTACGCAACATGTCTGAAAATTTTGACTTGATCTGACCTCAGGTCAGGTCACCAGAGGCGGTTTGGTGACCCTACCTCAGAAAAGTTTGCAATCACGCCGGAGCTAGAGTTTTTGACCGATCAATTTCTTCTCTTCAGGCTTTAGTTAGGGTACCAGTATGTGCACTTTGTTTATCTCGGAATTTTGATATCGGTGACCTAAGGTCAGGTCAGTTTCGCGACCTCCCCATTATAAGTCAATGGGGGAAAAATCAACTCCCTGTTTTTACCACTAAAACGGGTCGGAATGGCCCCATATACCATACATGACTTCATATACGATCAACCTTCACTACCTTGAGGTCTGTTTTGCTGTTGGGCAGCTGTGAGGTCATGTGACGTCATCAAAGGTCACCAAAGGTTTTTGGCCAATAACTCCGTACAGGAACAAGATACAGACGCGTGGATGGTCTCATTGTGTTCAGCTTGTCAAGACGCATCGAATGATATACATGATGACCTCGAGGTCACGTGACCTGAGGTCAACCTTTGACCTTGACCTTTCGAGGTCAACATATATATCATTCGATGCGGATTGACGAGAGGATCACGATGATGCCCTTAGTTTGTTCCTATCTTGACTAATTCGAAAGTTATTCGAGAAAAACTCTCTCCATATCTAGCGCCGCCATTTTGACTTTTTCGACCCCTGTGACGTCATCTTTGACCTGACCTGAAAATGACCTTAGTAAAAATTGTAGATCTTGACCGTGCGTATCCGATGCCGTTTACCGTTTGTCGCTGCGATGTGTAGTTTTTGAGATCTGAAGGGGGGGCCGAATCGCCCCCCCCCCGCCAGTTTCTTGTCCCGGCGGAGCCCGCCAGGAATAGGGTTAATGTCTGGTTAACACATTTGTTCCATCAATTTGATGATTCCAGTTGATCTGACACACGATTGGATTTAAACTAACTAGCACAAGGCGTTTAAGCATTACAGTGAAATAGGCATTTCGGAATTCCCAAAAGGGGACTAGATGTTGTATAGTGCTTTTCTCGCCTTTCAGTGACTTTTTGCTCTGCCGTTCACAGGTGTTTTGGTCACCACTACGGAACATATTTGTACCAGTTTTTCTTAACTGCTGGCTAGCCAAATACGCACTTGAAAATATGTTTGTAAGTATCGTTCAAACTATCTCCCTGTAGGGTAAGGTGCCTAATTAGCGACCCTTTCCGATTTGCGACCTACCTCCCTACAGAAAAACTGGCAGGAGAAAACGGGGTAAAAACATCGTCAAAAGGTCAGCCATACTTTGGTTATCAAATTAAATTATTTTCCGGTCGTCGATGTTTCTGGTGAGACGTTTCAGGTGGGTGTAAATAAAAATGACGAGTTTCTTATCCAAAACGTGTGTGTTTGGGCCCTCTCTAATGTAAAGCGATGCACATTAGGATGATGCACCTTTTTTATTCTGAATCGACATTCCATTTTTAATTGATTGCCGTTTTCCCATAGTGAATCGCTCAACTGTGCACAGCATGGCGGTTAAAAATGTGTCGCAATTCATATTTCCTATTTGCGCCTGACTTGGTCGCAAATAGCTCAAGAAAGGAAAGAAAGGGGAAAAGAGAGAAATGAAAATGAGGTGTTGCTGAAGCTTGCAATGTGTGGCAGAGGATGCCAAATGTCGTCACCGACTGCAGGGGTGCCGAATTCAGCGCGGACCTCGAATATCATACAAGATAGCCCGCAAAATTTGGGTTTCCGCCTTCTTTTCGTCTTCGGTGCATCACGTTATCAGTTTTTACTTACGTAAATGTGTTGGCTAAACGTTCCTGTTCGAGTGATTGAGTGCTTTGCATTAATAGGTTACCTTTTTGAGACCATATTTCATCTTTTCAGGCGTCGCATTTTTTTGCCATTTTTAATATGGGGAAACCCATAGACTTATTAGCGACCCTCCCCGGTCGCTAATCGGGAATAGTTCCCTATTAGCGTTTTTTGCAATGGTTTGCCAAAATGCTCACTACAAATAAGTTGTTGAATATTGAGCAGAAAATGACTATATTTTAATAGAAAAATGAACGGTCTCTCCGAAAATCAAGCCAGTAACACAGTGGCACCCACAGAGCGTGAGCAATGACGGTTCAGATTAAGGGGGTCGCTAATTAGGCACCTTACCCTAGTATTATCGGCTCTTCCTTTCTTTGCTTTTCCGCTGGAATGTTAAAATATGCATTCATGTCACAAGAACACCTTAAATTGTTGTGATTCATTTTCATGCTTCTCTGATATACCTTTGCTGCTCACTATCCACTCAGAAACAGTTTTTAGAACATTCGATGATTGGTTTACTCCGAGGTATCCGGCCAGTCTCAATTTCCGGTAAATGCTTTTGACACGGAGACATTAGATGTCGAAATTTCCAGAAAGCCAAGGTTTAGTATGCCGACTATCTCAATCAATCTCAACATCGATACAGCGACCTTCTTTGAGATAACATTGGAAGTTTTTAAGGCCGTGCCGTTGTCCAGAAGACCCCCAGGTGTCTCCATGAACGAATGTCTTGACGGTCCGCGGATTCGATCCGCGCGCTGCACATCAAAAGAAATTCTTGCTAGCAATCCCCCGTCCAGGAGATTTCCCAACAACTGCGCATTTGAACGCATTTGAACGGCAAAATGCCATCAAAGATGAACAAACATCCACTCTATCACTGCACATCATCCACACTTGGCCAACGTCACCACAAACGCTGCCACAGCCAATCTCTAAAAAAACACGACCGAAGTCGTTACGACAGCCTGTCAGCCGCCGCCGCCGCTGGTACAGAATGCCGTCTGTGGCCTCTACAAAAAGGTGCCTCGGTAGCTCAATGGGTAGAGTTGCGGATCGTTAATCGAAAGGTTGCCGGTTCGATTCCGGGCGCGCCGCGACTTTTCCCATGTATACCAACGTATGGTCTCCAAAGAGACCAATGTACACCAGCGTATGGTCTCCAACGCATTATCTCCAAAGAGATAAAAATGTTGGTGGTTTAACTGAAGCCCAAATAAAAAACAAAATTGTCTAAAAAAGGGTGGCTCTTTGCAAAGACGTGCCAGGTGCCTCCGAGACAACCTAATGGGCTTTTCTGTTTCTGAGTGTCCGCACCTCAGTCAGGTGCCATGACACCCACGTCCCCATTGCACCCCTGTGTGCCTGTTGCATGGGCTGCGAGCCGTGTGCCGTGTGCCGGGGCCGGGGCCGGGGCCGGGGCCGGTGCGGCTCGTTGGCCGTCGCCCGGTCGCCCGGAGCCGTGTTTTCTGTTCGGAGATCATTAACTGGGTATCGATCGGACCGACACTGTGCCGCCGTGACCGACGCGCTTCATTGGGCGGCGGGCGTCCGTCCGACACCTCTGACCTTTCCCGGCAACTGCTAAATTGCGCTCGGTGAAATTTGGGCGCGCCTTTGATTTGGTGACCGGCTCCTTGAGGCGCTGTGGGATTAGGTGCCGTCTCGGGTGGCGGAAAAAACACACCCTGATTTGGTCAGTGTGATTGAATGCCCACTGAGGTGGTCATCTGGCTGATGGTAAATTGTAACAAGTGTTTTCAACTAAGAAGTTTTATATTTTTCTAGATGGTTGCGATGGTTGCAAGTCAAAAATATGTTTTTGGAAGTTTATATTTCCCTCAATAATACAATAACCGCGACAATAAATAACTTAAGTTATTCGCAACATGCCTGCTTTCAAGTAGTCTGACAAGCGGAGCGGGCAGCTGCCAATGAATACATACCAGGTTTCATGAACGAATTAAATGGTGTTTTGTGACACCATAGTGCAAACTTTGCGTAATGGCATCACCACAGTGCAACTGTCGCTCACAAGACTGGAACTTTTGAGATACAAATAGTGGTCACGCCCTTTCGCCAACTTCATTCTCAATTATGCATATTTCAATTTCTTAAAGCGTTCACCGGTCGGCCGGCGTCGCCGTCATTTTCAATTCATGACCAGTTATTTGACAAAATGGCATTAAAGGTGACCGTTCGGGGCCAATATCTGAAATTGCGGCCACACTTCCCTGGCCTCACTTACCGCAAATGAACTCCTCAGTTTGGGAAAAGCGACAATGAGACTAACATTTTTGGCTGGTATGACTGCAATTGTAACCGGAAATTTTCCTCATCTCCTAGTGATCAGTTTTTCAATCATAATTTATTTTGAGCCTGCTTTCAGTTTTTAACTTGTTAAAAGCTCACCCAGATAATTCACTTAGAAATTAAATTCTATCCCACCTTACCACGCTCTTGCTGCATGCGCTTTTAGTGCAAAATCAACCTATCAATTTCAAATATTCTGCCGTCCTGCTGATACATATCTGTATTCTGTGACAAATGTATGCACCTATCATTATAGGTATTAGAGTGTTAAATGCCTGTAAAAATGTGCTGGTTTGTTTCAGAACGATTTGAATCGTGCCATGCAGCGCTCTCAGTCGGCCTTATCGCAGCAGCTAATGGTGCTTTCTGCAACGCTGCTTTGCCTCGTATTTACAAGGTGAGTCAACAGATAGTCCTGTCGGCATGTTCCACATGAATCAGCCGACCACCGGTTGTGGTATAATCGCAGTGTTCCTTTACATCCGGAAATAAGCCCTCCAAGTATTGGCTATGGCCATATTTAATATTCATTTGACATTCTTTTTTTTTGCTGCAGCAGCGCTTGGCTCGGCACCCATTGTGCGCCATATTGACAGTTACGAGCCACCGACCGGTGTCATTCAACAAGTGTCACATAAACACTAAATGGCGCTGTGCGCGGCCGGCGATAATAGGGCGGCGATTAGCATCCATTACCGCGCTGCTATAGAGGCGTCCCGTAAATCCTACTCGATGGCGGCCACCAGTCATTGCTGTGAAGCTAGTCGTCCGTTGGTACCACGCAGCCCATGAGAGACGGTTTCTGCGCAGCGCCAGTCGTTTGATCGTAGCACTCCCGTAATTACGGCGCCGCCTGGCTCACGTCATCAATTAATGTTTGTGACAGTGCAATTGATCGATGTCGATGTCGCTGAGAAACGGCGTCGTGAAATTATATCGGCGCTTAATTGTCCCTTAGTGCAGCGCAGCGTCTACTGTAAGGCACTGCCAAGTTCACATGCTCTTCGACTTCGCCCGGTAATTGCTCGAGACTTACAGTGAGTGGATTTCAATTAAGTTTCTCTTTGTAATGATGCATGTCTCCTCTGTAGACGAAAATTAATTGCGAATGCCTATTTGAAGCATTTGAATTTATAAGTTGTACCATCAAGATAATTGTAAGAAATAATTAGACCATTCTACTCTTACTTCTGTGGTTACCTGCGGGCCTGCGGCGTAAACACTTCACAAGTATCCAGTGCCCAGCCGTTTGCACAGCGCGGCGGCCGTAGCTAGCGCCGCGCAGCTACCGCCTGGCGGTAAGCAGTGATACTGTGCCGCAGTGCACTCATGCGGTGCGGTACAGCCTACCCTGCCAGTGCGGAGCGCGCTGCACCGGCCGCCGCTGCACAGCGCACAGTCCCGACTAAAAGCTGAAACAGACTCTTTCCGCGTTCAGGAAATCGCATGCGAGAGCCTATTCAAATACATTATAATTCTTCCCGCATCAATCGCATCCGGGAGGAGCGTGCGATTGATGCGAGCGTGCTAACATGTATTTGAATAGACTCTCGCATGCGATTTCCTGACTGCGGAAAGAGTCTGTTTCAGGCATAAGTCCGTATGAGAGCTCACAGTTCCGACAGATTTTCTCCGATTCTGGTGTATGTCTTATGTGACGACCATCAGGACAGTATCCCTGTGATCTATTACCACTTTTTCAGTTAAGACAGTTCCTAATAACATGCTACATCCGACAGTGATGTGCCTTTACGAAGTTAATAAGCGCGTCAATCGGCGTCGCTGTCCCTCATCCCACGATTGGCGAAATCGCACTCCTTCTTGTTCTGCCAGCCCGTGCATCCATGAACCTGTTTCTGTTTCAGCGTTTGCGGTATACAGCACTTTCAAAGGGCCGGCCACCGTCACTTGAACATCTTCCAAGCCTCCTATTTCGTAATCGTGACGTTCTCGACAGTAGGCTACGGCGACTTCGTGCCCGACATCTGGCCCTCGCAGCTCTTCATGGTGATCATGATCTGCGTGGCGCTCATCGTGCTACCGACTCAGGTCAGTCCGGCGAATAAATGAATGACCATTATACACACATCAGACTGGATTCCCACATCCTCTGCTGTGGGCTGTATGCCTCGTCCATGTTAGTGATCCAATTTGAGGTTGTTTACTTTTTAACAGGATTGATGAGTGTTTTTTAGTAGTATTTTCCTATCATATGGAGGACTATATACTACGTTATGATACGTTTATAACATCATTGCATCACAATCCTTTACGAAATACGCGTCACAAAGTATTTGTTGCCTTTTACTTTCTAATTTACCGCCCATCATCTGCTCGAGTTAGAGATGTTCCTTGTAGTGTTCTTATTAGCCTGTCGCGAGGCGGACTTTCGCCAGTTTCTCAGATTAGTGCCGCTGAGCCTGCGCCACCTGGGTGGAATTACAACAAGTTTTCTTCCCTTATTCGCTCAGGAATTCATGTTATTGCGAATTCCGTGTCGACTTACCTCATAGGATGCAAGAAAACGAGCTCTCGTCATTCATTGCATCATTTTCCTTTATTTTTTATTCTTTTGTCCGTGAAATAATGCCAAAAATGCATCTATGCCTATTGTTTATATCGGTACTGCCAGCTTTAAAAGCTGGATCTGCAAACTGCATCTCCTAAACCACTCGTTCGTCTGATTCGAGTCAATGAGAGTCCGGGTTTCTGAGCCGGACTCGTCTCCCGGACTCCCGTGCTGCTCGGTCGTCAGCTGGCCAGCAGTCCGTGGAGCCGGTCGTTCCACTCTCGGTCCTGGTCGTTCCACCCTCGGTCCTGGTCGTTCCACCCTCGGTCCTGGTCGTTCCACCCTCGGTCCTGGTCGTTCCACCCTCGGTCCTGGTCGTTCCACCCTCGGTCCTGGTCGTTCCACCCTCGGTCCTGGTCGTTCCACCCTCGGTCCTGGTCGTTCCACCCTCGGTCCTGGTCGTTCCACCCTCGGTCCTGGTCGTTCCACCCTCGGTCCTGGTCGTTCCACCCTCGGTCCTGGTCGTTCCACCCTCGGTCCTGGTCGTTCCACCCTCGGTCCTGGTCGTTCCACCCTCGGTCCTGGTCGTTCCACCCTCGGTCCTGGTCGTTCCACCCTCGGTCCTGGTCGTTCCACTCTCGGTCCTGGTCGTTCCACCCTCGGTCCTGGTCGTTCCACCCTCGGTCCTGGTCGTTCCACCCTCGGTCCTGGTCGTTCCACCCTCGGTCCTGGTCGTTCCACCCTCGGTCCTGGTCGTTCCACCCTCGGTCCTGGTCGTTCCACCCTCGGTCCTGGTCGTTCCACCCTCGGTCCTGGTCGTTCCACCCTCGGTCCTGGTCGTTCCACCCTCGGTCCTGGTCGTTCCACCCTCGGTCCTGGTCGTTCCACCCTCGGTCCTGGTCGTTCCACCCTCGGTCACATAACCTGTGACGGCAGCGGCAGACTGACGGCATGATGGCCGATTTTATGGCCCTCGGCCCGAACCAGGAAACTCTAAAGACCGTGTCGAGTGCCGAGTTACATAATGGCTGCAGAAGTTTCCCGGAAACGTGGGTGGGTGCTAGAAGTGAGTGCTGCTGAGAGTGGGGTGGTCCTCACACCATGCTTGAAAATGTGATAGCCTGTGTGGCATTCCTGAAATATTGTGCTGAATGCGCAGCCTTTTATTTTAAAACCTACACTTGCACCTTCTTTTCATGGGCAGCTAAGCAATATGTGAGAAATATTGTTATCTTTGTTCGGAATGCTATAAACGGGTAGGTTTTCCTGGTAAGAGATAGCACCTCGTGTAGCTTGTTGCGCAGGACCTGAACTTTACCGTGCGATCGTAAATTTCCTGGAAGACAGTAATATTTAGATTTAAACTTTTAACTAGACCGAATGGCAAATAGCCATACGCGGTTTGCCCCAGTCGGTCGATTTCATGGAGCCTTTGACTGAGCTTCTGTCAATGGTACTCGGAAAATATTACGCGGTGATAGTTTTTATCACGGACAGTAGGAAGAGCTACATACATATACCAAAGAAAATAACACAACTACCTAGTGAGAAGCTAATTCAATATTATTGATGTTTTTATTAATTCATCACACACCAGCGTTGCAAATAGCATACATTTGTTTCACGGCTGGTTCAAATATAAGCTTTTGAAATTCCAAAGTAGTTCGTTGGGTGAAACTCAAAGCTGAAGTTACGTTTTACGTCCCTAGTGGAATAACTCGCTGTTATCATCACATCTCAGAAGCCGCATGTGCACAACACGGTCTGTAATCTGTATCGTGTGCATATGCCACAACAGGTGGTGGCGGCCGGCGCGGGCCGACGCGATGGGCGGTGGACGGCGGACGGTGGACAGCGGACGGTGGACGGTGGACGGTGGACGGTGGACGGTGGACGGTGGACAGTGGGCCGATGGGCGGTGGACGGTGGACGGTGCGGGGCAGTGTGCTGTGGGCTGTGGGCGGTGGACGATGGAAGGTGGGCTGCTCGGGCGGCGTGCTTTGGGCTGCGTGGGGCGGCGGCCCCTGATATCAGTGACCCACTAATGGATGACGGCCCCGCGATAGCACTGATGTACTGTTGATAGGGTGCTCCAATCACTCGACTACGGTGCGACATCGAGGACCACGGGCGAGAGAGGGTGGGAGGCAACAGAAAGAGAGAGCGAGAGAAAGAGAGAGAGAGGCTGGGAGGGAGAGAGGTGGTAAGGAAGAGGGGAGTTGGAGAGAAAGGTGGTAACGGGGAGAGAGACGGTCAAATTGGTTAGGAAGAGGGCCTATAAGGGGGATGCACTACTTACAAAAGCACATTCAAAGAATAAGAGGCTAGTCCAGTCAGAATGAACTGAAAAACAAGCGAAAGACACATTTAATGCTTATACTTTTACGGCGTGGGTGGCATCGAGTACTGACGAATCCATCTCTACATAGAATCCCTTGACATAGAGCGAAGTTCGCAGTTCACTGCCACAGCCAAAATCGTCTCATTGGCTGCGGTTGGCCGTTGGTGCGTGAATCATTCACGGAGGGTCCTGTGACCTGACCTACAGCCAGCCGTCTGTCTGCCGTCTGTAAGCCGTATGACAGGCCTCCGGCCGCTGGTCTGATCACGTTCCCTCGGCCGGGCCTGATCCGGTCCCCAGCGCAGTCACGTGCGCCGATAGTTGGTCACATATGTCCTGCAGCCGGCCATTAGAACCGGCTGCCGCTCATACCAGTCCTGTGGGTAGTTTTACCAGTGACTCATGGGGAAAGTTGGGATAATTTACAGCGGCAAGTCTATGTCAGAATGTACACTGTACAGCCCTCGGATCATATCGTGGTAGGTGCTCTTAGCTGGACAAAACTGAGAATATCTCGGAGAGTGTGTTATTGGGCGCAAAAGTACCGTAGCAAAGAGACTCGCGATTCTCTCACATTGACATGAAACAGACTTACCTCCCCGCCCTGAGCTCTATGGCAACAATTGGCGACAGGTTGTGTTTAGATAAAATAATATATATTTTGATGTAAAATTAAGCTGTTATTGGTGAGGTAAAAAAAACGATAAAACCACTTTTTACTTGTTTATTATTGCTTGAGTGATCATGGAATCAATTCAATCATGGGCTCCTTTTCCAGTGAGTGAGGTCATGGGCTCCTTTTGGGCTCCTTTTCCATCTTGATATTGTAGGTAATTGCTGATTGAGTGATCACATAGCTGTAGAAAAGTTTTTGTCTTTTTTAGAATAATGACGCCGCCTCTCAGTGGGACGAAAGCTCTGGTTGCCTCACTTCCAACAACTCAAGTGTGTGAACTCGTATTGCATCGGTCATCAAATGTGAAAAAAAAATAACAAGGAATCTACAGTATAGGTTGAAAATATGACCCCTACGGTAGGAGAAGTCGTTTGATTGTTGGCGTTGACATTCAGCTCCAGCTATAGATGTGCGTGGGCCAAATTTAAGCGACGCCAACGTGATTACAGCCACAAATAATGGCGTGTGTCCAAGCGATAAGCAGACGATCTATGAGCCGATTTGTGCCGTTGGAGACTCGAGCGACGCCGAAGGGGATACTTGAAGAGAAGACGCACTTCTAATAACAAGTTAAATGGATATTGAACGAGTGAAATAGTGCTGGATTAGGTGCAATCAATTTTAGTATCACATAAAATGTCGCTATTTTACTTTCCATTTTGATCAGAAGCTTCAAAATATATCTTCAAAAGCTTTTAAATTTGGTGCGCCGGTGCTCGGCCATTGGCGTTTCTCAAGTATCGCTCTTTCAGGGTGTAAGAAGCCACAATGCGGTAGCAGAAGTTGAATGGTTCTATCTCATCATTTTAGCAGGACGTCTTAGAAGTTGGAAGTCGAGCTTTGAGCGCGGCTAATGGACTTGGCTGGGGGCCTGTCGGCTTTTCTCGCAGCTGGGCATCATAGGGGACTCAGTCGGAGGCTGATTGCTCCGACAGCTGAACAAAGAGCCGCTGACTGGCGAATAATGAGCACATTATTAACCCGCGCCCCGTTGGGCTCTGCCGAGCAACGCGCCCCGTTGGGGGGGGGGCATTTTGGCCCCCCCCCCTAAGATCTCGAGAACCACGCAACGTAGCGACAAGCGGCAAACGGTGTTGGATAGCCGTATCAGGGAACTACCTTGTGACCCAATTTTATTGACCTAGGTCAAACCGATGACGTCACAGGTCAGGTCAAAGGTCCAATTTTCACCGTTTACAGGCATTTCAAGAAATGCGTTGTAAAATCGAGTAAAATGCATTTCATTGAAAATCATCGATGGGGAAATGTTCTTCAAACACATATTTTGCTAGTTGAGGTCACTGATACCAGGTCAGGTCACTGAGGTCAGGTCACTGGGGGGTCACAATATGAAAGTGTCGTGTGATACATGTTTTATGGTCCATTTTACATGACAAATGCGATTATGTGGGTCAGGCAGCCTTTGGGGCCAGCTGAGGTCACGTTTTGGTCAAGGTCAGGTCAAGGTCAGGTCAAGGTCAGGTCAAATAAGGTCAAATTTCAAAGTTGATATTTTTGCATAAAATGGGTATTGAATCGATGCAGCTCGTCACGGGGAGTTCAATGGTGGTCTTTGTTTTGCCGTACGAGGTCTAGAATCGCTAAAAATTGAGTTCAAAAATTTGACGTCATCATTTTTGAACAGTTTTTTCGCTATAACTTGGCCAAAAAACGAGATATCGGTCTGAAATTTGGTATGTATATAGAAGAGCGCAGGGACTATCACATATATTCCGGTTTTTTCGAAATTCGGAAAAATTTTGGATTTTTTTTTAGTTTTTCTAAAAAAATCAATTTTTTGAAATTTTTTTGGGTCAAAAACTCAAAATTTTGAAAATCCGAGATAACATTTTTGTAGCACCGCTTTTTGTCTATTAGACCATATAAAGAACTTTGAAATTGCTTGATAACTGTAGATTTGGTGAGCGTTTCAAGATTGCATGTTTTTTGCTCATTTTTGCTCGAACATGACCTCAGTTTGACCTCAATAACTCCTGACCTAAGGTGACCTAAGACTTGAAATTTGGTGTGAAGGTGTCAAATTGATGCCCGGAAAGGTACTGAAAATTTGGCGGCGCTGCGCGCCGCCGTTTTCTTGCTATTCAGGAAAAACCACAGGGGGGGCCAAAATGCCCCCCCCCCCAACGGGGCGAGGGTTAATCCGGTCCGCACACACTTAGCGAGACGTGGTTCACTGAGGCGCGACCGAAGTGCTAAATTGTCACAGGGTATTGATGCAACCCGAACATCATTGGCTGCTGACATTGTCCTTTTATATTGCAACGATACTGAAAGAACGCTTTCACATTCAATTTATCGAACCGTTGGTCCTATTCCCTTAAAGCTCTTGCGATCGACCAGGAGCAGAACCATCCTTAGCTGAGGCCGAGCATGGCCTCCATTTTACTTTCTGACATGTCTACCTTCCATCATAGAGACTAGCCTCGCCGGCTCCCTCCCCTATCTCTGCTGCGGCCACGCAGCTCTGGCACTGCAGCTTGTAAAGGCACCCCCGTTTCCGTCCCACAGTTTGAGCAGCTGGCTTCTAACAAATACTCCCTCTGCCCCACAGTTTGAGCAGCTGGCTTACACGTGGATGGAGAGGAAGAAGCTGGGCGGCACGTACTCATCACATCGGGCCGCCAACGAAAAGCACGTGGTGGTCTGCTCTACGACCCTGCACGCCGACACCATCATGGACTTCCTGAACGAGTTCTACGCGCACCCGCTGCTACAGGTAAGGACAAACTCGCTACCGCAGGGCAGGACGAACCTGCTACTGCAGGCCTTGGTGCTGGGCATAAGTTCACTCGCCGTTTTAGGTGTTAGCACCAGACACAAGTGCACCCGCCGCTGCAGGTCAGCCGTCAGGAAAGAGGTCGGGTCAGAAGTCAGGTCAGAGTTCCCGACAGAGTGAGAAGTAAGATATAGCTAAGGCAGGTCAGAGTACTGAACGCCTGCGTAGCGCTAAGAGAGGCTGCTGGATTGCCGGGGTCAGCGGCGCCTTGGAGTAGCAGATTTTCAGAAGGCGGCTGATCGTGTCACAGTCGGGTTGATTGTTGAGGATGCTGCATAATGCAGGACGTAGTTCCATAACGTATGAGTAGGTTATAAAGTTATATAAACGAGCTTATTTATAGCTACAGCTATATTTGAGATTGAGCGGCTTTTCGTGGCCTTTTGTACTGCTTCCGACTTATATAACTCATTATTTATGGATACCCACACGTGAGCGTTGGTTTTTTTTTCTTGCAATATTGCCGGTCGAGCCAACTGAACCTCATCCGACCTTATTCTCTGACACAGAAATAGTTCATCCCCGGGTCGTTTATCATGCCCAACATTTATCCAATCTCAGTGACCCACCAGTCTATCAAACTCTGACCGGTATTGTTGGGGCCTTTGTCGGACGTTTGTCTAACAGACATTTTTTTCCACAAAGGTTGCGGAAGTCTGGCGGGATTCATAAGTTTATGGTGTGAAATATTGACGTTTCGTCTGATTACCACACATCATTCGTATATGCCAAGGCACAGACGAATCCAAAGAGAAAGATGATAGCAGCGATATGCGCGATTTTCTGGAGTAACCTCACTTGTAAGCTCAGCAATATTATCTGCATTGCAATGCAAATACGCTTTAGAAGTGCAAAAAAGGTGTTCAAAGCATCTTTGCTCTTATTTCAGAACGCACGTACCTATTTTCTCTGACGCAGGTCAAAGTTGAGTGTGTTGTTTGTTGATAGGTCTCTCTCTCTCTCTCTCTCTCTCTCTCTCTCTCTCTCTCTCTCTCTCTCTCTCTCTCTCTCTCCCTCTCTCCCCCTCTCTCTCCCTCTCTCTCTCTCTCTCTTTCTCTCCATCTGCTCCCAGGACTACTCCGTGGTGCTGTTTCTCTGTTGACTCCTCTCTCGTTGTCCGCTCCCAGGACTACTCCGTGGTGCTGTTTCTCTGTTGACTCCTCTCTCGTTGTCCGCTCCCAGGACTACTCCGTGGTGCTGTTTCTCTGTTGACCCCTCTTTCGTTGTCCGCTCCCAGGACTACTCCGTGGTGCTGTTTCTCTGTTGACTCCTCTCTCGTTGTCCGCTCCCAGGACTACTCCGTGGTGCTGTTTCTCTGTTGACTCCTCTCTCGCTGTCCGCTCCCAGGACTACTCCGTGGTGCTGTTTCTCTGTTGACTCCTCTCTCGTTGTCCGCTCCCAGGACTACTCCGTGGTGCTGTTTCTCTGTTGACTCCTCTCTCGCTGTCCGCTCCCAGGACTACTCCGTGGTGCTGTTTCTCTGTTGACTCCTCTCTCGTTGTCCGCTCCCAGGACTACTACGTGGTCCTGCTGTCGCCGATGGAGCTGGACGCCACGATGCGGATGATTCTCCAGGTGCCCATCTGGGCACAGCGGGTCATCTACATCCAGGGCTCGTGTCTGAAAGACGGCGACCTGAACCGGGCGCGGATGAACGACGCAGAGGCGTGCTTCATCCTGGCGGCGCGCAGCTACGCCGACAAGACGGCTGCGGTGAGTAGCGACCCGACTCATGGTTTTTGATGCTGATGTGACCGTCATGTGGCCGGTTTTATGAGTGACTTGTTGAAATTGTTTGGTGATGGGCGGGGAGCGGACCCGGCCGACTGATGGCAGAGTGTGGAGGCCGGCCGGGGTTGCGTGCTGAGCTCGTTCAGTTTTACGGCGGCAGGCAGCGGTGGCGGAATGGGGGCACTAACTGCTCAGCAGCAAATGGTGCCAGTCTGCACTTGGCCTTGTGGGTTTTACTGCGCTGTTCACGGTTTTTTATTGTAAGAATCAAGCCGGTTTTATGGCCCAACGATCGGAAACTTTGCGCGTAATTGCTACTTAGTTTGGGAGCTGATACAGGTTTACTCAGTTGTGAACAAGCGCCAGCCGATGTGACCAAGTTGAAAGTCCTTTTTGAAACAAAACAAATAAGAAACGAACTGCGATAATTTACAAAGAGACTGTTCCGGCTTTTATAACTGCATTGCGACCCATACACATAGTTTTCAACACCAGGACCAACTACCAAGTAACTGTCTTTTGATCTTCAGTGCTGGATTGCGGATCTGGGGTGCCAGCCTGACGTTTCGTTGTTGAGCCAAAAGGAAGGCGCGGAATCGTGCCTAATCTTTCGAGACACTCAACGGCTCGCTATTCGGCACTTATACAGCGTCTCTAGTACAGCCTTTTTGTGTCTGAGCTGGCGATAGGGGATCTCCCTTCTCCCCGCATCGCTCCTTTTTTGCTCGGCCGGCGCCGGCGGTCGATTTTTCCGCCCGGCCGCGCCGCTGTTCGTAGCTCGGCGGCCGAATTGGCCACTTAGGCGGCGCTGGACGGCCGTGTCCGACTCAGAGCGGACGCCTGCGGCTCGCGTGAGGAGCCGAGCCGTGTCGGTCGACCTGCTGGGAACAGGTGGTCCGTCCCACAGCCCGGCGAAACCGCCGCCGCACGTCAGGTGTGTCTGCGAGCGGCGGCAGCTCCGACTGTTGTGAGAGGGAGGCTCAGTGGTTTGCAGGGGTTGGGATTTCAGATTACGCTAATGGAGCTAAAGGATAGAGTTTCAAATGTTGTCGTCAGTGCGGATTCGAATATGCAAAGCTGCTTAGTTGAATTTGGAATGCACATTGCGCATATGCTGAGTGGGGATTCTCACCGATCTTCATGTGATTATCTTACAATTTCATTATTGAGCTCGGTGAGCAATGATTGATTACAGGCGTTTTCAATTGACACTCGCCGCTATTAGTCGCTTCCTCGGTCTGATGAGCTTTACTTCGCAGCGGCGATCCGCGGCTCCGCGTCATCGCTGTTGCACACTAATGAATATCCGCCGGCCTGAAATCAGCTGTGCCGGCCTTATTAGTTTAATCTCCCGATTAATTCTGAGCGCTCGGTGAGGGGATCGCGATGTTCGATGAAGGAGATCAGACCGTTGGGTGTTGGGCTAATACGGGAGCCCCAGCGCGGTGCTCGGGGTTGGGAGCGACCACTGGGCAGGCGGCGCCGTGTCACCGATAGCATATCGGGAATTAGCGTTATCGCGGCTGTCAGGGGGTGGACGCGTGGAACAGCAATCACAGCGGGAATACGAGTAACCCGATTTGACGGACAGCAGGCAGCGTATAAGGGGGACGAAATAGGCATCAGTTGTTAACTACTTGTGTGCTCAGTGCTTACTTGAATTATCAGTCATTTTATTGAAATTTCAAAAATATTTGTTACATTTTAGACACTCTATGATCCTAATCGGCCTTAGACATCGGTGATTGTATGTTCACAGTAGTGGATGAAATTTCCAATTTCGTTCATTTCTCTGGCTGCCGTCGAATTGTGTCCCTCGCCGGTGTTTGTGAGCGCGCCGGGACCGCCTGGGTCGCGAAATAGGATGCTGCGGATTCAGTGATTTGTATCGGCTGGACAGCCTTAGGCCGTCCGCAGAGGCCACGTGACTCTTCAAAGGCCACCGAGGAGCAAGAAGTGTCTGGGAGACTGTACGTTACGAGTGCGCTTATATTTTTGCGACGGTTTCTGATCATGTGTTATAGAGGTGACAGCATCATCAGCAACATATCGCCTGAATAACTCTTGCAGGAATTCAAAGAGCTCTCACTCTAGCTCCGAAATCGGAACCAGCAGCTCAGTGGGGTGCTGTTGGAGGTCACGTCCCGGCTGAAACCGGTCTGTGCGGCGGCACGACACGCAGCTTCCCCTCCCGTCCTGCCGCTGACGAAACCCCCGGCCGACCTGACTGAGGCACAGTGGCGGGCGATTCAGGCGGCAGGCGCCGCAATTCACCGTGTGAAAGTGGCTTATTCAGGACGTAAGGGCTGCACCAATGGCGCCAAGATGACGCCTTTCAGTGCGGTGCGGGGTTTCATGCGTAGATGCATTAGAAAACCGTGATGCAGATCATGACATGCACGAATCTGGAATGTGCCGATTTGCAGTGAGGGTTTTCTGTTCATTTCAAATTCCGCACTTTGAACGGAATTTTGGAAATAAGGAAAAAGACAGGCTTTCGTTTTGGACATGGCTTACGAAACGATGCGTGTAAAAGAGCGGCATGCAATCTTTCATGTCATTTGAAACGATCCCCGTGATTCACTTCCGAAGACCTTAAACCGCGCCGGGCCGGGGGGGGGTGTTTTCGTTTTTTTGCAGATATCTTAAAAAACGGCGCTGTTTTTGGCACACCTGTTCATGCATCTTTTTCGCACATATTGTGAAAATTTCAGACCCAGGGCTTTCAAGGTCAGGTCACTTGTCTGCACCAGGGCCTCGTTTCATAAAGCGAGTCCGTAACTTACGCCAGTTTTTGGGCTTGTATTGCAAGCGCATGTGAAGCGATAAATTTATTTGCCCTTCTTCCTTCTGTTCTTGCTTGTAAGATAAATAAATTCAACGATTCAAACTATCGTCATCGCTTCACATGCACTTTCAATACAATACCAAAAACCGGCGTAAGTTACGGACTCACTTTATGAAACGAGGCCCAGGTCACGTCAAGTGACCTCACCTCAGAAAAAGTTTCAATCCTCGTCAGAGCTACAGCGGCTGAACGATCGCCTTAAAAAATTTCAGCAGCGATTGATGAGAGTACCTAACAGTATATACAAAATAAATATCTCGGAATTTTGATATCGGTGACCTAACGTCAGGTCAATTTTGCGACCTCTCCATTATAAGTCAATGGTAGAAAATTGAAATGCGCCTCTTGTGGACGAATGGTGTTCAAAACCCTCTCAAACATCGGTCCATGGGTAAACGTGACACACTGAATCGGAAAAATGCACCTGCGACCCCTTTGTGTGCCCCTGAGGTCATCTCAGGTCATGAACGGTCACCAGCAGTTTTTTGGCTATAACTTTTGATAGTGACGTGCTAGAGCGATGAAAACACGTCAGATGTATTCAGCTCGACGATACGGATCGACCGATATGCAACATCACCCTTTCCGGTCAGGCCATGACCTTGACCTAGGGTCAAATTTTCAAAATGACCTTTCAAGGTCAGCGAATAGTTCATTCGACGCGTCTCGACGAGAGGAACACGATGCTGGCAAAAGTAATGCCGTGGCTTGCTTGAATCAAAAGTTATTACCGAAAACTGTTTTGGTGAAAACGGCTATTTTACAGTTTCTGCTCTCTGGAGGCTAAACCGTTGACCTGATGTCAAATCTGAGAATAGTGTTCAGAAAGGTCTGTAAAAGCTCTATTGAATGCGCTTTTCCGCGGAGCTGTAGCTCTATTGGTTCCCGAGTTAGCCGTTGGCAGTTTCCAAAATTGTGGAAATGGCCTACATTTGACCTTTGATGACCTCTGGCGACCTGACCTTTGACCTGACCCAAAACATGACCGAAGTGTTTCCGTCATTATTTTTGACGTTCTTTCGAATACCGCTTACCGCGTGTCGCTACGTGGCCCAGGAGCCGAGTTAGCCGGGGGGGGGGCAGTTCAGAGTACACCCCTCCCCCCGACCCGGCGCGGAAGTCGCGGAGCACCGGCCCGGCGCGGGTTAATAATCAACTTTGCCTCTAATAATAAGGCTCTTGGCCAAATTATGATAGCTTCAGATGCATTTATGTAGTCATATTCTTCTATATCGTTAGTTGATTTGACCAGGTAGAAAACGTTTATTGATTTCGAATTAACAACCATCCAATCAAGGTAAATGTTGCTCGCCATATTCTGTTACCATTGTGGTAGCAGGCAGGTAACACGTAGACAGTTTCATAAATTAAACTGCTAACTCTCCGCAAACGGTGGATGCCAAACTATTATTTTTCTCCAATCACCAGCCCAGTTCCACAACGAAACAATGGTCGCACAGGAAGCTGAAGACACGGCAGTTCGGAGCGTCCCTTCCGCCTCCGAGCTGAGCATTGGGCACGGACAGTGGACCGGGCGACCGCCGCCGCTCCGGCGACAGCAGTCTTTGTCCTCGGCGGGCCGAATGGGGCCGCCGCGGGCCGACTTCCGCCCGTATGCGGGTCGGATCGAGCCGATTTGGAGACATTTGTAGATATTTAGGTAGCGTACAGTGCACCTCACTGTGCGTTTTTTTTTTAAGTTTGCAAAATGAGCAAATCACTGGACACCTTATTGACATCGCACACTGCAGATTGCTGAAGATTGCAGACACAGAATCAAACTGGAATTCATTTTTACATCATATAAAATCAGCCCTCCGAAACGCGGCCAGACGCGATGTCTCCCAGTGGTTCTTTTGGCCTCGTTACTATTCCGGCGCGCGTCAGCCCGACTGAATACAGAGCGGACTGACCGGCCGTCGAACGGGCCCTCGGTGTCGTCGAGTGCGACGAGCGGTGCCGACGCCCGCCACTCTCGGCAGCCGAAATGGTCGACGACGACGGCCGCCGGCGCTGACGGGGCTCCGCCGGGCCTTATTGGCACTGTTATAGCGGCGACAAACGTCTGGACGGCCTCAGAGCACACAGCAGCCGCCGCGGCCCGCTAAATAAGCAGATTTCGGCTGTCGACAGTCGTTTTGTATATTGTGCATTTATGTTTAAATTGTTATACATAAAGCTCGCTAAACGATATATATTTGCGTTAACGCCGGGATGTAAACAGTACTTATTTTTTTGTATTTATGTTAATCGTGAAGCTACCAATTAATTTGTAGCTTCATTTTTCAGCCATGCATATTACCCAGTAATTTTTTTTTTACCTGGAGCATTCATCTAGCTGCTTTTCACCGATGGGCTTGTCACTGTTTCAGGACGACCACACCATCGTGCGGTCGTGGGCCGTGAAGGATTTCGCTCCGAACGTGCCACAGTACGTGCAGATCTTCCGGCCCGAGAACAAGGTGCACGTGAAGTTCGCCGAGCACGTGGTGTGCGAGGACGAGTTCAAGTACGCGCTGTTGGCCAACAACTGCCTGTGTCCGGGTACCTCGACCCTGGTGACGCTGCTGCTGCACACCTCCAGAGGACAGTCAGTAGCCGGCGGGGGCGGCGGGGGGGGAGGGGGGGGGGCAGTG